ATAAACATGTATACATTTTAAATATAAAGCATAAAGTACATTGTGCATGTGTGTATGTGTGTGTGTACGTATGTGCGTACGTGTGTGCACATGTGTGTGTATGCTTTGAATACGGCTATTCCTGTCTACTATGTGTATTTATAGCCAAGCGCTTCTGGCAGCCAGCACCATGTGTACACACATTTGTCATTAAAACTTTATGCGTATGTGTAAAAGTGATATTAGAAGGGAATCTCTCTTTCTTTCTCTCTCCCTCTCCCTCTCTCTCTCTCTCTGTCCGAATATGTTCTCAGACGTTAAATATTGTTCAATTCCATTTGTTCATTCCTTGATTTCAGCTTTACGTCAAACAATCACGACATATATCATGTCATGTCATGTGACATGTAGGATACATTTATGTATTGGTTATGATGAAAACCATAACTATCATGGATTGACCCCATTTGACCCCATTGAATATTAATATCCATTAAATTTGTTCATAACTCATAAAACAAATAATTTTCAGATTTGTTCACTGATTACTCCCTTAAAAGATACACTCAAAATCATCCATTCATTCCGTCGAATTGGTTTATGAAACTTAATAAATGATATTTGAATAAAGAATTTAATAAATGTACTCAATGATACATTAATTACCAAATAAAATATGCGTTTGCATAAATGAATTATCAAATTAGTAAAATATAAAAGTTTGCAATAATAATATAGATAGGAATAGTTGAAAATGAGATTCCGGTTGATGAAAAGAATTTTCCGGTTGTCAGTTATTTCTTGTTGTTGAAAAGTTAAAAACGGACGCTTAAAGTATTGCATACTATGCGGAAACTATAATAAGGAGATAGGCTGAAACATTCATTTGGTAGTAAAGCATCGGAAAAGTGCGGAGAGTGCACGGAATTCAACGTTCTTTTATAAAACGACGAGAAGGCGGTGCCAAACTTGATCATACTCATCAAATACGGTGTCCGGTACACACACACACACACACACACACACACACACAC